CTGGAGTTTTGCTCTGTTCTATCATTTGGGACATGTTTCTTTGTCTCCTCATTTTGGCTGCCTCTCTGTGTTTGTTTCTATATATTAGGTAGAGCTGCTATGTCTTCTAGGCTTCGTAGGGTGGCCTATTATAGGTGTTCTGTAGGGTCCAGTGGCACAGCCTCCCTGATCTCCCAGCTGGGCCCTTGAGGTGTACCCTTTGTGTGGACTTTACACTCTTCTGTTGCAATTGAGTCTTGATTGCTGTTGGCACATTAATGAGAGGGTTTTACTCAGGCTGATCAGCTGCAAGGACTGGCTGTGCCCACTGACCACCGGCCTCTGACTACCTTGGAGGATCAGCTTTGCAGTGCCCACCACACAGAGCAAGACTTACTTCAGCAGGGCTCTGGTACCCACTGAGTCCACTCCTTGAGTGTGTCGCTTGTGCAGGTGGTTGTGGTCCGAAGCTGTGCACTGGATGTGCTGGCTCCGGGGCCAGGTCAGCCTCTGCCTGTGTTCTCCTTGGGGCAGGGGTCTGTTTCTTTTTGAGTAGACTTTGGTAGTGTGTCTCGCAAGGAATTTGTTCATTTTATCTAAATTATCAGATTTATTGGCATAAAGCTGTTCATGATATTCCATGATTATTCTTTTTAGTATCTGTATCGCTATTACCTTTTATTCCTGATGTTGGTGATTTATGCTCCCCTCCCATTCGTCAGAAGGGAATATAGTAGAAGGTAACGTCAGCCCAAGGAGAAGACTTTTCAAAGAACTCGCTTTTGATTTAATTGACTGTTGTCTGTGTTTTTTTCTATATTGTTGATTTCTACTCTGATCATTCTTTTTTCTTTTTTCTTGTTTCATTTACTCTTATTGTGGTTTATTTGTTTTTACTTTATATTGAGAAAAAACAGCACAAATCGTAAGTATGAACTTTCACGAACTGAACATACATGCATAGGCCCCAGTTCAAGAATCAGACCGTCTCCAGCCCTAGAAGTCACCCTCGAGGGCCCTCCCAGGAACCTAGCCCAAGGGCCATGACGGCCCTGACTTGTGCAGCATCTGTCAGTCTAACTACTCCTGCACCTTGCACAGACGAGTCACACAGTGTCCAGCTTCTTTGATTCAGCATCGCGCGAGTCTTCCTTGTCGTCTGTGTGACGTGCTCACTCGTTCTCATCTCTGCATGGTGTTCCGTCATGGGATCTGCCACCAGTGTTCTCCTGTCGGCAGGCACGTGGGAGCCGGTGGCTGGAGGTCTCTGTGAGTGTGCGTCCCCATGCACACGTGCAGCCCTCCTGGGGCACAGCTGTGTCCTTGCATTGGCAGACGCCACCCCCGCGATGAGCTCCTGATTCCGAGCATTCAGGCAGGACGTGACTGCGTGTGTCCTAGTCCACAGGGCTGTCCAGTGTTTGTTGAACGGCTGAGTGAAAACAGACAGTTCTGACAGAGACTGGCCAAATGCTCATAAGATACCATCTGGGCCCAAAGACCAGCCAAAACAAGAGAGAGGGCCTTTCCCCCGGAACGCACCCCGTATGGAAGGTTTTAAACCATGCTTTAGCGGTGTTTGGGGGGTTTCTGTTCAGTACACGGGAACTGGTGGTGTCGGGACATGGGGGTGAGGGACAGCAGCCTCTCAGGGAGGACTGGAGGCCTTAATCCCTCGGTCTGCAGGACGCCACGGACCACCTGGGCCAAGGCCTGGAGGAGTGTTGCCTGGAGAAAATCAAGTGTGGTGAGCGAGGCGAACACCAGGCTCTCCCAGCGGTATGACCAGGGCCCAGGTGCTCGGCCATGTCACCCTGTCTTCTGTTGAGGGCTCAGCCCACAGAGCTGTTAGCTGTGCTCTGAGCTTCGCATGTCGTCCCCGATCTAGTGTTTGAGATGGAAGCTGAGGTCACTGGTTGGATCGCTCTTGTTTGTCGAACAGCCATTTAGTGCTGTGAAGATGCTCCGAGCTCGTCAGTCGGGAGTCCCACAGGCGCCCGCATCTGCTCTACCTTTGTTCGGTCGCAGACCCTTTCTAATTTCCCTTTGTGTTTCTTCTTTGACCCACAAGTTATTTAGAAGTCTGTTATATAGCTGCCAAATATTTGGAAATTTTATAGGTATCCTTTTGTTATTGATCAGTCATTTACTGTCCTTTAGTCAGAGCACATACTTTTTATGGCTTGAATTTTTTTGTTTGCCATGTCCGGTGGCTCAGAATTTGGTGTCTGGGTGAATGTTCTCTTTGCCCCTGAAGAGAATGTATGTGCTGCTGTTGCCAAGTCGGTCAGTGGTTTGTTTCTTCTCGCACTTCCGTCAGCTTCTGCTCTGTATTTTGAAGCTCTGTTGTTAGGAATGCAAACATTTAGAATTGTTATGTTCTCTTTGTGAATTAACCTCCTTGTTATGAAATGACCTTCTACCTCTGGTAGTATTTTTGCCGTGAAATCTACTTTATTTAATATTAAAAGTTCCATTCTGGTTTTCATTTAAAAATATTTTATTGATTTTTTTTGTGTGTGTGAAAAATAAAGATCCACGTGAGAGAGAAACATTAATACCAGGGATCAAGCACACAACCCGGCATGTGCTCTGCCCTGGAACTGAACTGGCACCTTTCGCCCTGCCGATGTGGCTCGGTGGACTGAGCGCCATCCTGAGAGTCCTGGTTCCGTTCCAGGTCAGGGCACATGCCGGGGTTTTGGGGCTCAATCCCCAGTAGGGGGCATGCTGGAGGCAGCCAATCAATGTTTCTATCTCTGTTCATCCCTCTCTGAAAAATCAATAAAAACATATTTAAAACATTTTTTTGTGGTATGCCTTGGTATTGTTTTCTTCATATTTCTCGTGCTTGGAGGTTGATGAGATGCTTGGAGGTTGATGAGATGCTATAAATTCGTGGATTTATAGTTTCCTAGAAATCTGGAAAATTTTCAGCCATTATTTCTTCACAGATTTTTATACCTTCTCCCCTACCCCCTGGACTCTAGTTTCCTGTGCACTAGGCTCCTTGAAGTCCCACAGCTCACTCACATGGTTGGTATTTTGATCCTTTTCCTGTGTGTTTCATTTTGGGTGGTCTAGATGACTATTTCTTCAAGTTCCCTCGTCATTTCTGTGTCATCTAACCTGTCAATCCCGTCCGTGTCCCTTCCTCTGACATATCCCTCCATCTTCAGTGCTTTCGCCTGCTGAGCCTGTGGGGTCAGCCTGCCCTGGCCGCAGATCTGTCTCTGCGTCTCAGGCCTCCGTGTCCTTGCCGACGCTCCCTGCCCCTCCGGGCGGTGTGGCCGAGACGGTGCTGTCATTCCTGTGTGTGTTCTCGAGCTTCGTTCTGGGATGTGGTCGGTCCTTTCGAGTGTTGCCCTCGAGTTTTGTTGGTCAGGACCGAGAGGGTTTACCTGGCTCCACTTTGGCCAGGGTGACTCCCTGGTCCTGCTGGCGGCACTGTCCCGGCCTCCGTGGGTCACTCCCAGGCTTGCACTGCCCACCCCTGCTAAGATGAGGCCTCTGCCTGCAGGTCTGCTCCGTCACTGCCTGTCCCTGTTTCCCAGCACTGCCGCCTCCCCTCAGGCCAGCCGGCCACCCGCTTCACATGGCCTGCTCCATGGCCAGAGATCCTCTGGGAGGGGTCGTGACTGTCATGGAGCTCCCCTGTGTCCTGCCTCACTGCCTGCTGTACAGTGACTTGGAAACCATTGCTCAATCACATTAGCGTCCCCGTTATTTCTAGTTTCTCTACACAGGAGGTCGATCTGTCCCTGCCACAGCCTCGTCCTGGGGGGCAGGGGTGCTCAGGAAGCCCCTCTTTGGAGCTGGAGCTAGAGCTGGGCCGGAGCTGAATTCAGACTGAGGCTGGCAGGCCTGGCCTCGGGTGTGCGCATTGCAGTGCCGAGCCTCCCGCCTCCAGGGAGCCTCTGGGTGATGCGAGGCCTCGTGGGACGTCCGCAGTTTTGCCTAAGGTTCATGAGTGCGTTCTGCTCTGTTGGTCCAGCTCGGCTTGTCTGGAGGTTTGGAGAGAGCTGGCTGGTGCCTTCCTGCACCTCTGGGAGCCCGGCAGGCTCTAGCGGCCGCCAGGATGGGGCAGGTCATGTGTAGATGGCTTGTGCTCTGGGCTTTCCTTGGCTAGGGCGGAGGAGGAGGGGAGAGGAGCAACAGAAGTCACAGGGCTGAGCTGACTCGACTTGTACACGAACCAGTGTCTGCAAAGAACTGCTGTCGGTGGGCAGCTGAGCAGGACCCGCCTTGCCAGGCGAGCCTTTGCCCCGACCAGGCCCTGCTTCACTTACCAGCCCCCACTGCGGAGAAACAGGTCATTTTCTACGCTCTGACTTTGTATGTCAGAAACAGTCCTGCCTGGGACTATCCCGTACGTAGCTTTGCATACTTTTCCAAGTGTTTTCTTGGACTTCATATTAGTCTGTTAGTCTGGTCATATTGGCATATTAGCCTAGGTGCTTTTAGTAATAAATGAGTGAAAACATTCCTATTTCTCTCGAGAAATAAAGGCATTGAGTTTCTTGTTTTTTAGGAACCCCCCTCCCCCCCGAGGTTTGCAGGGGTTGCCTGTGGAAAGGGGGCACTAGGGAGGACACACACATTGGACCGTGGCAGTCCCATCCTGGATACTGGGGTGTAGAGGGGGAGGGAAGCAGAAGCAGAGGGACTTCCTGGGGGACAAGACATAATGGGAGCCCAGCTGGCCCAGGACTCTGGCCTAGCTCCTCTCACCCAGGGCTCCTCCTGTGACCCTTCTCCTCCAGCCCACAGCTCTCCCTGGGTCTGCGTGGTACATCCTCTCCCCCGTCTGACTGTGTCAGCCCCGTGCCCGGGTCCTGGGCAGACAGTGGAGTCTCGAATCAGGCGCATGTGGTGGCCCATGGGCTGGTTCTGAGTGTCCTGTTCCTGCTCCGGTCCCCTCATGCAGGTCTGGGCCCCTTGGGCGGGTGTCGCCCGGGTGAGAGGACAGATCTGGAGTCGGCGCAGGCCCGGCCTACTTTCGGTGTCTCTTGTCCACACAGGCCTACGGACAGGTGCACACCAACCACAGGAAGGTGGCCGCAGACGGCGAGAGCCGGGAGGAGAGTCTGATCCAGGAGTCGGCCTCCAAGGAGCAGTACTACGTGCGCAAGGTGCTGGAGCTGCAGACGGAGCTGAAGCAGCTGCGCAACGTGCTGACCAACGCGCAGTCGGAGAGCGAGCGCCTGGCCTCGGTGGCGCAGGAGCTGAAGGAGGTACTCGGGCTGGGCGGCTGCCCTGTGGGTGAGGACACGGCCCAGTGCCCGGGCAGGCGGGGCCCTCACCACCAGTCATCCCCCTGCTCTGCCCCAGCCTTCCCTGGGCTGCGGTCCAGTAAATGTCCTGGCCCTGCTTGAGCTGGTGTGGATTCTGGGTCTCGGGCGGCTTGTGACGAAGAAGTCACGGGGGTCACTGCAGATGGCCCCCATGACCAGCTCGGCCCCTGATAGAGCCTGGCCGAGTGGAAAGCGGCGGGCACATGCCCAGTGATCTCCGAGGAGTGGAAAGGTGGGTCCCTGACCCCAAACAGAGTTGGACAGGGATAGCAGGCGCAGCGGGAGTCTGTTAGCTGCAGTCCTGGTCGTGGCCTGGGGGCCTGGTCCTCAGAACCCCAGGGCTCTCAGGAAGGGCAAAAGGCCTTGTTCTGGGCTGCAGAGGGGCCCGCCCTCTGTTTTCCTGGGAGGGCAGGGGCAAGTGGCCCGACAGGCGAACGGTTCTGAGTGCTGCTGGCTCTGAGCATCACACCTCAGACATGAGGGTCCCATGGGGCTGGGAGGGGATGGTTTGGGACGGAGCCCAGGGGCCAGCAGTAGCAAGGACCAGTCCCCCATCTGCTTTGGTTCATCTGGGTCAGAGGTGGTTGCGGCCTGTGAGCCTGGGAGGACCTTGGCTTGGATCTGGGCGGCCCTCGGAGGCCTGGAGCCGGAATGTGTGATCTCATTTCCTCCCACAGGATAGCCCTGGTCCGGGTGGGGGGGAGGAGGTGTTGGGGCGAGAAGTTGACCTCACTGCCCAGCCCAGGTTCATTCTGCCTCATTCCTCCAGAAAGGCTTGTCCTAGGCTGTGAGGAGGGTGCTAGGACCTGCTGACTCCTGGCGTTGGGTGCCCGGGAGTGAGCTCAGCCAGGCCCCTGGGCTGTTACAGAACAGGTCTGATGGGGCCAGGATCCCCGCTCTTCCTGTCAGCTCCAGGGGAAAGCCAGCCACTCCCACACCTCAGCCACCTCCTTCTCCTGGGCACATTCTGGGTCCCCGAGGCCCATGTGGGGCAGGCCGCCTGGAGCCTCCCTGGGTTCCTGGCTGGGAGGAGGCTCCCAGTGCCACCAGCTTGGACATGGCCCTGGTCAGTCCCGTTCATCCTGGCTCATTAGTACCCACCGCCTGCCCTCACCTGCTCTCGCCCTTGCCTGCTCTTGCCCCTCTTCTGTGGCTCTCCAACTAGTCTTGGCCCCGCTGCTTCTGCCCAAGCGGCTGTGCCGAGCTCCCCTGTGGCCTCTAGCGTGGCCAGGCCCCTCCTGCCCAAGGCTCAGGCCTGGCTGAGGAGCCTAGACCATGAGGCCACAGCACCAAGCACTGCCCCCAGCACACACCAGCCCGCCGCTGCCTCAGGTACCCTGGGACCACCGCCTGCAGGCCGCCTCGTGCCAGGCTCCTTTGACCTGCAGTGTGTCTGTGTCCTGGGTCCCAGGCCTGACCTGTCTACCTATATTCAGTGACTGGTGAGCCCACCTGTCCATCCTCCTTGTGACAACTGCTTTAGGTATCTGTACCCCATATCCAGCTCACCCAGAGGACCCTGCGCCTAGGGTCTTGACTTCTGCACTGTATGTAGATAGGCCAGGTAGCTTCCGTCCCGAGATGAGGCCTTATGCTCCATTTTTTTTATCTTCACCCGAGGACATTTTTCGATATTTTGTTCAGATAGAGTGGGAGGGAGGGAGAGGGGGAGAGAGAGAGAGAGAGAGAGAGAGAGAAACAAACATCAATGTGAAAGGGACACATCGAGTGGTTGCCACCCGCATGACCCAACCAGGGCCGGGGACAAACTGCAACCGAGGCACGTGCCCTTAGCGGGAACCAAACCCGGGTCTCTCTCGACCACAGGCGGGTGCTCTACCCGCTGAGCCAAACCGGCCAGGGCTTGAGCTCCATTTTGTAGGTAGAGAAGTAGAGTCCCAGGTGTGCCTGCAGCCGTCTGGAGGCAGAGTCAGGTCCTTTGCATATTCCCTTGAGAAGAAAGCCTGCTGGAGAGGAGTCAGCCTCATCTACCACCTGGGCCCTCAGTGAATTTCCCGTCCTGGTGGACCCTTACACCCTAGTGCTGCTATTCTGATGGACCCTTTGTGTCTCGCGCCCAGTACACCCCAGGAGTGAGTGACAGGGATATCCTAGCAGCATTCACCTCCAGCCAGGCCAGGAGCCAGGAAAGGGCTTGTTTCCTTCTGTGTTGGCATCTGGGCCACCAGGAGCAGCTGGAAGGAAGCTGGGCATTTGGTCACAAGCTGAGGAGTGTGGTGGATCAGGAGCCGCAGCGCCAAGTACCAGGTGAACTCTGCAGTGTGGGTGGATGCCCAGGTCCAGAACCAGGGGACGGAAGTGAGGGGCTCTCATTTGGTGGACAGCCCTGGGCAAGAGGAGGAGACCCGGGTATGGAGGAGACCGCAGGAGTGAGGAGCTGTGGACTCTGATGGTTCCCGAGGGAACGATGCCATAAAGAAATGCACATTCCTCCAGGGAGCGGGGCTGGCCCGAGTGGCTCAGGTGTGCCCCCGCAGCCCCCAGGAGATCAGGGAGATGGGGAGAGAGGGCCACAGGGGCAGGGGTGCCCTGTCTCTGCAGCCTGCACAGGGCAGGCTCCCTCTCCTCCCAGCCTCAGGCAGATGCCCGTCCTGACCCCTCAGAGCCTGGCCTTTGCCTGGCAGCTGTGGCCATCATGGGCACTGGGATTTCCCGGGAGCTGAATTGTAGTTGATTACATTGACTTAATTTTTACGAAGTACAGCTGGTAGTGCATGCGTGGGGCTGCAGTGTGCCTCAGGGCTCTAGAACCTTCCATATCCCCATGGAACCACGTTCCCTGGCCTGTCCTCAGGCTCGGGTCAGACTGGCGTCAGTGTCTGCCTCAGGACCACAGGTGTAGCCTGGGCAGTCACTCATCACCTCCACGGGACGAGGTGGGAGAAGGGTGGCAGGAAGTGCGCCGGGGGTCCCAGGTGTGGGGTAGGAGGAGAGAGCCTGCCGCTGCAGCCCTATGTCACTGCCTGTCTGCCTGCGTGGTCACAGGTACCTGCATGAGGCTGGTCCCCAGGTTCCCTTCTCTGATGCTCCTCCTGTTCCTTGTCTTCCTGCTTTCCTCTAACCCTGCCTTATCTGTTCTGGGGCCCGGCAGCCCACCATGGTCCTCGGTCTCCACCAGGGTGGACAGGGAGCATGAGTGGAGGCCTGGCCAGAGGACAAAGGCCTGGCTTGGTCTGGGCCCTGCCCTCGTGACCTGCTGGTGCCTCTGACCCTAAAGCCATGTTTCTGCTGGTTCCAGGGTGGCCATTCCCTGTGGTGTGTGTCTCCGTGCATGGTTTCCTCATTGAAGGGTTGTCTGCGCCCCCCCCCCCCCCCCCGGCACCTGATGGGCACAGGAAAGGGTAGCCAACACCGTCAGTTACCTGCTGGGCTCCTGAGGCTGGCAGTGTAGTCACAAGTAACCTGAGGTGAGGGTCTCTTGGGAGAGGAGCTGAGGTGGGACCCCACACCGCCTCCTTTTTCCTCCACCAGGGCTGCCATCGACAGGCTGGCTGGGAGGAGGTGCTCATCTGGGGAAAACCATGTTTTTTTTACCAGCAAGTAACCAGAGGTCAGAGTCCTTTGGAAAGAGATTCTGAGATGTTTTTTCCATTGGGGCTCACCTTGGGGGGACCACGCCCCACGGCGGCCGGCTGGAGCTTGTTTGTGCCCATGGATTTTGGGAGTGTCGGGTGGAGCGCCCACACCTCTGATGTGGGGTGGAAGAGTGGTCACTATGGGAACCTGTGTGGGCCTGTGAGTCCTGCAGGGTCAGCAGATGGCATCGCGCCCTGCTGCGCAGTGTCCCAGGCCAGCCGCGACCTGGGAGTGCTGCCTCGTGCTCGCGGCCCACCTGCAGGCCTGGCCCGCTCTGCCGCATGGCCGGCTCTCCACGCCCACCCCGGGGTCCTTCTTGGTCTGTCAGTCCCGGTGAGAAAGCTGTGGGGAGCTGGTGGGTTTCAGACCCCCCCTCGGCGTTCACTGCCAGGTGCCCATGCGGGGATGCTGCCTGTGTTTGGGTACGTCCTGCATGCCAAGTGCCATGACTTAGCAGCGAAAGAGGGGGGATTGACCAGACCCGCTTGTGCTCGCGGGAAGCTGGGGCCCTGCTGAGAGCGGTGGGAGCTGGCGCGGGGCTCCGGCAGCGCTTGCGCAGGAGACAGCGCGGAGCTGACTGAGCACTGCCTGGCTGACTGGGGTGGGAAGACGGGTTCAGCAGGCTCCCTAGCTGCGGTCTTGGCGGGGTGGGATGGTGCACTGGCTGGATGTGTGCGGAGGCCGCAGCTCCCCTGCCCGGTGTCTGGCCGTCTTTAGAGTGGAGCCGTCCTGAGTGGTGCACCGAGGGGGGCAGCTGTGGGGGCAGCCGCCCCACGGGCTCCTCTCTGCCTCCCGTGTCCTTCTGGCAGCCACCTGGCCCCTGGGCCGCACACCTGCCTGAATCAGTCTGAGCTGTCGTCAGAGCTAGTGCTCCTGCTCCTCCCGGTGGTCTGCTCAGGGACAGCACGTTGTCCTTACAGATGCGACGGCTTCCTGGGAGTGTCGTTGCCGCGTGGGGGGCCGCCCTGCAAGGGTGAGAGCGCCAGACAGCACTGCTGGGGTCACGGCCCTGGTAGGGGCCACCATCCCCCTGTCCATGGGAGGTGCTGACGGCACGGGGCTCCTCTGACCCGTCCCTTTTCCCTGGCATAACTGCCCACACTCCCATTACACTGTCCCGGTCATCTGGGTTCTCCCCTTGTCCCTCATCTGACCCCAGCTTCCCGGGGGCCGAGACCAAAGTCTATGCTCATTTCCCATGGTTGTCATAGCAAATTGTTACAAATGAGGGGCTGATGACAACAGAAATGTACTCTCCCACAGTTCAGGAGGTCAGGAGCCCAAAGTCAGGGTTTTGGCAGGGTTCCCATGTTCTGGAGGCTCTTGGGGAGAGTCCTCCCTGTGCCTCTGCCAGCTCCTGCCAGCGCCCTGGCGTGGTGGATGCGGCACTCCAGTCTCTGCCTCTGCTGTCCATGGCCGCCTCCCTGGTGTCTGTGTCTCCAACTCGCCCTCCTGTAAGACCAGGCACTGCATCGAGGCCTCCCCTAACCCTACGACCTCATGGTAACTTGATTAGGTCCACAATATCCACAAGTCCTAGAGGTTAGCGAGCGCTTCAGCATATTTTGGGGGAACACATTTAAACCCATAAGAGTCTGCCCCCTGGTCGTCCTAATTCATATTCTTCCCACATGCAAAATACATTTATCACATCCTAACCTAAATTGTTAACCTGTTCCAACTTCACCTCTAAGTCCTGGGTCTCAGCTAACCCTCAGAATCAGGGATGGAGACTAGGGTGGTCCATCCTGGGGAGGACCTCCTCCCAGTGCAGACTGTCTCCTTGTGGAAACAGTGATACGGACAGACACTCCTTCCAGAGGGAAGTGGATGGACTGAAGGGCCCTGGGTCCCAACAAGTACTGTCCTTTTGAAGGAAGTGACACTGGAGAGAGGAGGTGGAGTGAGATGGAGGGTGTGTGTGTGTGTGTGTGTGTGATGAAGGTGCGCATGTGTGAGATGGATGTGTGCGCCTGTGAGGTGGAGGTGTGGTGTACGAGGTGGAGGTATGTGAGGTGGAGGTGCGTGAGATGGAGGGGTACGTGCGAGATGGAGGGGTGCACGCGGTGTGCGAGATGGAGAGATTTATTGTAGGGAAGTGGCTCCCAGAATTTTAGGGTCTGCAGGCCCCAAACCTGCAGGGTGGGCCAAGCTGGCTGGATATTCAGGGAAGAGTCCATGTTACAGCTTCAGTCCTAAGGCCACCTGGAGGCAGAATTTCTCAAGGCCTTTGACTGACAGGTGAGGCCCCCTTACACGATAAAGGAGCCTGCTTTTCTTAAAGTCGGCCCATGTCAGTGCTGATCTCATCAGAAACACCGGATGTCTGGACTGGGGTTTGAGCAGACATCTGGGTGCTGGGTCCTAGCTTAGTTGGCACTGAAATTCACTGTCACAGTGGGCGGTCCGGCTGTCAGAGGGCAATGGCTGGAGGCCAGGCTGCACGCGCCCCTGGTCAGGACTCCAGCTGCCCAAATGCACCTGTTGGTGTGTCACCCTGCGCACTGTCCTCGTGCGTTTACTCCTTCACCAGGACTTTTCTGGGGTCGAGCCTGTTCTCCAGTCAGTACTTTGGTGTCTGTCCTCTGGTGTTGACTCGGGCACCTACCCCTTGGGTCACTTCTTGAGGAGGCTGCGCCCTTCCGTTTGCTGGAGATGTTGGCAGTAAGCATCGGTCAAACCGCAAATGTGCGCGATGCCTCTCCCCGTCTGCTGCTTTCCTTTGCCCTTTCCTTTGCTCTTGCCGCACTGCTGGTGTGCGCCTGCGTGGGCCTCGGGTGTGTCTGCCAAGTGCACGGTGCAGTCACAGAACCCTCGGCACAGCAGAGAGGACAGAGGGAGCTGTGAGCCAGCAGGTGCCTGGGGCCAGGTGGGGTGGCAGTGCCCTGGGGGCACCATATCTTTGCAGATATTCAGGGAGGCTATTTGGAGTGGGGGGGTAGTTTGTCTAGGGGACAATTCTGTTCCCAGGGACATTGGTTCTGGAGACCGTTTCACTTGCTTCAACAGGGGAGGGGGTTGCATTTGGTGGATTTACAGGACGATCCCAGAACGTCGCAGAGTCTGGGGCCAAGGGACTCAGGTTCTGGTACATGGGACGTGGCAGCAGCCCCTCTCCCTGCAGGACGTTGGGATCCTCCAGGACTCACTGAGTTAATTCGTATCCTTACAACTCACCCACTTCAGTGTACAGGTCGGGGAGTCAGTGTACTCGCAGATCATGCACCGTCACGATCGGCTTGAGGACACTCATCACGCCAGAGCGAGGCTGCTGCTGTCCCTGCCTCCCCCCCCCCCCCCCCCCCCCCCCCGTCGCTGCTCTGCTTCCCACTTGGCCCTCGGTCTGGACCTCTCGTTCCTGTGGGGTCACGGCTGTGCCTCTCTGTCAGATGTTTTACTCACAGGCGTGTTTTCATTCCTGTCGAGCATCGTGTCAGTGGTACGAATGTGATGTGTGTTTTCTTCAAATATGTTTCTATTGATTTTAGAGAGAGGAAGGGAGAGAGCGCGAGAGTGAGACATCGATTGGTTGCCTCCCGCAGGCACCCCAACTTGGGATTGGACCCGTGACCTGCGCATGTCCCTTGACCAGGAATCAGACTAGTGACCTTTTGGTCCACAGGACGACGCTCAACCTACTGAGCCACAGGGACCAGGGCCTACATGCTTACCTGTTCTCCAGTCTGTGTTCTCCCTCTCTCGGGTGGATGCCAGGGAGCAGCTGCAGCCTGTTTCCACAGTGCCGCACCATTGCAACCCATTTTACAGACGAAGAAGTCGAGGGTCAGAGCCAGCTGAGGCCCTTCCCTGCTCACCCCTGCCCCACACTGCCTAGGCCCCCCGAACCCCAGGGAGCAGGTCCAGCGGGGCCAGCTGCTCACACCCCGCCCTCCCGGCAGATCAACCAGAACGTGGAGCTCCAGCGGGGCCGTCTCCGGGATGACATCAAGGAGTACAAGTTTCGGGAGGCCCGCCTGCTGCAGGACTACTCGGAGCTGGAGGAGGAGAACATCAGCCTGCAGAAGCAGGTGTCGGTGCTCAGGCAGAACCAGGCAAGTGTCCGGCCAGGGTGGGTGCCTCGGCTCTGGGCCATGGCCCTCGCACCCCCTCACTTTTGTTGTCTTGCATGGTCAGAAGGCCACATCCTGCTCTGACTGGGTGTCGGTGGCAGGGTCTGGCCCCTTCATGCCATGAGAACAAGGCCGGTGGCTTTGGTGTTGGCATGTCGGGCATACTGCAGAGGTGGGGGGTCAGGGCTGATGAGAGGTGACACAGACTTCAGCGGCTGAGTGTCCAGCTCAGTCTCCTCTGAGGTGCTCACAGGGAGCCCCAGATGTCCCCAGGCCCTGTGGTACCCTAGAGGTGCTGGCCTGCCCTGCCCATCTCTCCTGCTGTCTCAGGTTTTCCATCCCCTTGATTCTTTGTGGTCTGGGCCCTGAGGGACCCTCTGGGAGAAGCCAGTGGGCCTTCCTTGAGGAGCAGAGTGGAGAAGGTCAAGCTGTCATCTCCTGCCCTCACAGGAAGGTCACCCTCACCTGTGATGGAACTACCAGGTGGTCCTGGGCACTCAGGTCTCTTAGTGCCTAACCCTGGTCACCTACTTCTCTGAGAGCCACAGCTGTGCAGGGTGGGGACTAGGGGACCTTTTCCCCAATTTAAATTCTGCATAGGAAAGTGTGGGCCCATGTGTTTATCCCAACACAGAACCTCTGTGTCTGTAAAAACCAGCAGAGAGAACACTTCTCCCCAAGAATGCAGGCATAGGAGCTCCACCCCTGGTCACACACAGGTCCTCAGGAGAGAGACTTCGGCCCCGGGCGGCCTGTGGTGGAGCCCAGCCCCATTCCAGGAATCCTTCTGCCTGGGCTGCGACCATCAGAGGTCCTCTCGCTCCTGCCTTGGAGTGCCTTGCTCCTTATTTTTTGCACAGATGTTACAGAATAATTAGAAATGTTTTGTTAAATTGTGCGCAGTCCCAGATCCCCCACACCAAGCACAGTTGTCTGCCTGCTCCTTCTTTGTCCATCTGCACAGTTTCCGCAGAACTCTGCCGCCTCCTCACGGGGCGTCGCGGGTGTGGGTGCCGTGTCTGCAGCGAGGCTCCTCCATGGGACTTCGGTTTCCTTGTTTTGAAGTATCATTAGAATGAATGGGCATCTAGATACATACTTCAGGTATCTTAGTACGTTCAGTTAAGTATTAATGTTAAGTAGTTTCGTAGAACCTCACCGCAGTGTGCCTGTGCTTCTCCAGATCTCCACGGAGTCTCCAGCGCCGCGCTCTGGCTGCTGCACTGCTCACACCCTGTGCACACTCGTCCTTGTGTTTGCACCTGGTGCCAAGGAGTCAGCACGCCGGTACTTCCTCCTGACCGCTGGGCCTACATGAGTGTTGACCTTCCTTTCACAGGTGGAATTTGAGGGCCTCAAGCATGAGATCAAGCGTCTGGAGGAGGAGACCGAGTACCTCAACAGCCAGCTGGAGGATGCCATCCGGCTCAAGGAGATCTCGGAGCGGCAGCTGGAGGAGGCGCTGGAGACGCTGAAGACCGAGCGGGAGCAGAAGAACAGCCTCCGCAAGGAGCTGTCGCACTACATGAGCATCAACGACTCCCTCTACACCAGCCATCTGCATGTCTCCCTGGATGGCCTCAAGCTCAGTGACGACGCTGAGGCCCTGGCCAACGGCTTTGAGCACGGCTGCCTGGCCAAACTGCCACTGGACAACAAGACCTCCACGCCCACCAAGGACGGGCTGGCCCCACCCTGCCCCAGTCTCGTGTCTGACCTCCTCAGTGAGCTCAACCTCTCCGAGATCCAGAAGCTGAAGCAGCAGCTGATACAGGTGAGCGGTGGGCAGGCAGAGGAGGGTCCGCCTCCATTTCTCTCCCGTTTTACATTTGTCTTAAACTCTGCGCTGCTGCGGAAGCGGGACAGCCGCCTTACTGGTGGGCGGGGCCCAGACAAGTGGTTCCTGGCTGTGAGGCGGGTGTGCTGCCCGAGCTGTTCCGTGTCCCTCTGCGGTGCCCATGCACAGTCTTCCTCTCCGTGGCCTGTGGACATGTCACGTCGGGGTTTCCTGTTCGGGACTGGGAATCCCAGGTTCTCTACCATGGCCCCTCAGTTTGCCGCATGTCTCTGAGGAGGGGCCCGCTGGTCCCCCAAACCTCTGGGCAGGGGAGGACCAATGTGCGGGGCCCTACACATGGCATCCCCACTCAGACATGTTACTGAACTCATGGGGTTTGCCATTTGGGGTGATCTGTTCAGGAACGAGATGTGGTTGTCACAAGGTAGTTTTATTTACTTACCCAAGTGGAAGAGAGGGGGGTCACGTCCATAGATCTGTCCCTGGAAGGGAGGCCTAGCCACACTTGTATTTGGTCAGTTGCACATTGATTTCTTCTGTGCAGGTACTTTTCTGGTTGAGGGACTGTTAAGCTCACCCTGATTACAGCTGCTTCTGCAAAATACTATGCTACATTTTAACATTTAGCAACAATAGCATTTAGTAAGAACTGCCCAGACCTTGAGACACTTGTCCGATCTCCGTCACAGATATGCCAGCAGGGTGACAGTGGGGTGACTACGGGGACTGTCGGGGGGGGGGGTCCCTGCAGGCTGTTGACAGGCCCTCTCTGTGCCCTTGCAGATGGAGCGGGAGAAGGCAGGCCTGCTGGTGACCCTGCAGGATGCGCAGAAGCAGCTGGAGCAGGCTCGAGGGGCCCTGTCGGAGCAGCGCGAGGAGGTGAGCCGCCTCACGGAGAGCCTGAGCGCTCTGCAGCGCCTCCAGGCTGGCAAGGAGCGGCGCACGGCACTGGACAGTGAGAAGGAGCGGGACAGCCACGAGGATGGCGACTACTACGAGGTAGACATCAATGGGCCCGAGATCCTGGCCTGCAAGTACCATGTCGCCCTGGCAGAGGCTGGCGAGCTTCGGGAACAGCTGAAGGCCCTGCACAGTGCACACGAGGCCAGCGAGGCTAGGCACACTGAGGAGAAAGGCCGCCGTGAGGCTGAGAACCAGGCGCTCACTGAGAAGGTGTCCCTGCTGGAGAAGGCCAGCTGCCAGGACCGTGAGCTACTGGCCCGGCTGCAGACGGAGCTGAAGAAGGTCAGTGACGTGGCGGGGGAGACTCAGGGAAGCCTGAGCGTGGCCCAGGATGAGCTGGTGACCTTCAGCGAGGAGCTGGCCAGCCTCTACCACCACGTGTGCATGTGCAACAACGAGACGCCCACCCGCGTCGTGCTGGACTACTACCGCGAGGGCCCGGCCGGCGCTGGCCACTGTGGCCCCGAAGTCCACGGACACCGCTCACCAGTCCTGCCCAAGGGACCACTGGCCGCAGACGGCGGGGCTGGGGACAGCAGCCTCTCACCACCCTCACCCCTGAGTGACCCCCGCCGGGAGCCCATGAACATCTACAACCTGATAGCCATCATCCGCGACCAGATCAGGCACCTGCAGGCAGCTGTGGACCGCACCACAGAGCTGTCGCGGCAGCGCCTGGCCTCACAGGAGCTGGGCCCCGCCACAGACAAGGACCGGGAGGCACTCATGGAGGAGATCCTCAAGCTCAAGTCCCTGCTCAGCACCAAGCGGGAGCAGATCACCACGCTGCGCACCGTGCTCAAGGCCAACAAGCAGGTGCGTCCTGTGCTCCGGCCTGCTGGGCAGGCAGGGGGGGTGGGGGGGCTCCTCTCCTGCCCCGGCAGCCCCAGGGCCTGCATCATCACAGGTCAGCTCAGGCCTCAGGTTGTGGGTCATGTTGGCTCTCTACTGAAGGTAAGAGAGCCTCCCCTTGGTGCTGGGGGCGGAGCTGGGTGCTGAGGGGCCGGGCAGGTGGAGTCCTGGCCTGTGGCACTCACTGAAATAGGTGGGCCCCCACCCACCCTGTGTCTGACCCCAGACAGCCGAGGTGGCCCTCGCCAACCTGAAGAGCAAGTACGAGAACGAGAAAGCCATGGTGACCGAGACCATGATGAAGCTGCGCAACGAGCTCAAGGCCCTCAAGGAGGACGCGGCCACCTTCTCCTCTCTGCGCGCCATGTTTGCCACCAGGTAACCCCAACTGCCGCTCAGCCCGAGCCCATAGCCTGGGGCGGGGGAAGTGCCATTCCTGCTGTCGCGGAACCCGGAGGGCATTTCGTGTCCACTGTGCGTGTGAGACAAGGAGGCTGAGGGCAGAGTGCTGAGAGGACGGGTCCCTGCGGCTGGGCTGCTGGTGGGCAGGTGACACGGGCAGGTTTGGGGCCAGCAGCCGACAGATGAAGAGTTTACCCCCCAGAACACGGCTGGATGTTTGTGGGGTACAAAGCAAGGCCTTTCTCATCCCCGACCTTCCCTTCCCTCAATGTCTCCTGTCTGACCCTTCCAGTCGGGGGGGGGGGGGTAGGGGATGGTGGCGGCAGAGCAGAGGGTTTCTAGGGGAGTTCATGGCTTCCCGGCGTTTGTGCCGTCCGGAAGTGCGTGGTGCCATCTGCTGCAGGTTTGGGCAGGCTCCGGGCCAGTGGCCTCGGTGGCCCTTAGACGGCACAGGCGTGTCCTCAAGGCCAGGAAGGCTGAGCTCCCTGGGCTAAATGGGGCCTGGACTGAGCTCAGGGCCTGCTTTTCCTCACTCTGGGATACTGAGCAATCCCCACTTCCCAGAGGGGAGGGGTGCAGACAAGGAAAGAAAGTTACAGGCTTTTTGGGAAACTTCCTCTCCTTCTGGGCAGAGTGCATAGGAAGGGTCTGTTCATTCCTCAGCACTGGTTGATCCTCACTTCCTCAGCTTGTTTGAAAACCTGACTTCTCTGAGGGAGCTGAGATTGCAAACCCATTCGTCTCTGGGCAAGAGCTAAATGCAGTTGGCTCTGGGCCCTTGGAGAAGGGAGAGTGTGGCAGGTGGGCATACCACTGCCCTCCTCTGCCCAGGCCCCACTCCCTCCCTCTGGGAGAGACTCTGAGTGTGCATCTCTCTCCCAGCCCCGTACTCAGGTGGGGGCGGTCACATGTCACAGTTCAGCAGAAGTTAGAACGGGCTGTTCATTGCATCCACGTCTTCCCAGGCCCTGGCTGGCCCTGTGGTGCAGGTTTACGGAGCACTTCCTGTGTGTGCGTGCTAAACTGGGAACAAGCCAAGTCCTTTCCTTGGACTTACCCTCACTGTCTGAGAGTCAGGTGGCATCTTGCCTCTACCCAACTGCCCCTGGGTTACCTGAAGGGCAGCCTTGAAGTAGGGCAGCCTTGCCTCAGTCAGTGAAATCCAGTTTCAGAGTCCCTCCCAGAGAAAGCCACACCACTGTGGGGACTCTTCTTCCATCTGATGAGCGGCGTCCATGTCCCCTTCCTGGGTCCTTCAGCCATGCACTCGCCTCTGATGTCCCCATAGGTGTGACGAGTACATCACACAGTTGGATGAGATGCAGCGGCAGCTGGCAGCCGCCGAGGATGAGAAGAAGACGCTCAACTCACTGCTGCGCATGGCCATCCAGCAGAAGCTGGCCCTCACCCAGCGGTTGGAGCTGCTTGAACTGGACCATGAGCAGACCCGGCGGGGCCGCGCCAAGACCACCCCCAAAGTCAAGCCCAGCACCCCGAGCGTAAGTCACACCTGTGCCTGTGCCAGTGACAGGACTGAGGGCACCGGGCTTGCAGCCCAGGTGCTCTGCGGGGAGAAGTATAACGTGTGCTGCGATTAGGGCCTCGGCCACACGTCGCAGCTAACCTGTCGCCGCCGCCTGTCTGCTTCACCTCAACTAACCCAGCACAGCGGGACCGCAGCGCTAGGCTGGTCCTAACCATGACTAACGCACGGGGAGGACTAGTGAGATGGTGTGCTGCTCCTCCGGGACTGCGGCTCGGCGTCTGCTTCTCACCCTGGGGCCACCCTTCCGGGCAGCTGCTCTCTTGGCGGGGTAGGAGTGGGGTCACGTTGGCGTCAGAGCCGGGAGTCCTTGAAAACGTGGCTTCCCAGGGCCCAAGCGTCCTGGGCTTGCGATGGAATCTGCACGTGTCAATGCACCTGTGCTGCCCCGGGGGCAGTCAGAGGTGCTCGCCGGGCTCCAGCTGCCGCAGCAGAGGACAGGACTACTTCGTGTTTGTGCAACATCCCACCTTCAAATCCCATTTGCGATAAGGGCAGAATTTCTCCCCCCAAACCCGGAGAAAGCAGCTCTGAGCCCCGAGTTCCACAGCCCAGGCATTCATTTGTGCTGAGCCCGGTCGTGCTCACACAGCAGAGGCACACCTGGCCACAGCCAAGGTCAGAGCTCGAAGCCTCAGCTTCTTTCTGAGATTTGCACACTGGTCTGGCAGCCTGCCAGGTGACAGATCGGTAGGCCCAAAGCCTGGGGTTTTTTCAATGAGAAAAACTTCCCAAGTGCCTGACCAGATTCCCGTCCTTGGAGAAGCCCATCCTTTTGTATCAGGGTGTCCCCAGCTTTCAGAGCAGGTTTCTCCACACTCTGTCTATAATTAGGCCCTCTGCCCAGGGAGCTTTAGACCCTAAAACACAGTGCTCTGGAACCCCCAGCACAGCTGGAGCCCAGCCAGTGTGGGAAAGGAGACTGGCGTGGGCCCAGGCCTGCCGGTGTAGGCGCACTGAGGGAGGAGGGGCGGGCAGGAAGGGCAGCCGTAGGGCTCTCGGTTCCCAGAGCTGCTCCCACACCAGACCTCCGACACGTTCGGAAGCAGAACCTTTCTCAGTATTTTTGTCCCTTTTACCCCACGGGGTCACTGCGTGGGAGGCTACAGTCCTTTCCCTGTGGACTCTGGCCCAGAGGGGAGTTTGTGTTACCCTCACACAGCTCTCTGCCCCAACTGCCCTCTTCCCCTCCGTCCCCTTGTGTCTCTGTCCCACCAAACTCCAGGTGCTGCGCAGAGCACCTGGGGCTTTGCAGAGCATGGGAGTGGGGAGATGCGGGCTGGGCACACCTGTCTCTTCTGCCCTGCTTCCGGGCTGCTCTGCTGAGAGGACGTCTGTCTTGGACCCCCTCCCACCCTGGGCAAGTGGGACTTGGGGGTTAGGGCTCCACAGACTGCTCCGCCCTCGCTGGGCCTGCACGCAGCTCCCCTGTGCTGGAAGCTGCCTCCACGGAGCACTTGGGGCGGCGGCTCCCCTAACACGCAAGCCTTCTCTGCTGCTGACTAACGTGCCCGCTCTCCGCTCCGCGACGCCCAGCTGTCCAACGGTGACTGTCTAACGCTGTCTTGTTTTCTCCGTTTCCAGCTGTAGATTAGCTGCCGGGAGGACTGCCACCGGCCCTGTTGCACTGCAGCCCTTCCCTCCCCTCCCGGGGCCCACGCAGAGGAAGGAAGGGCAGCCTAGCAGTCCTCTTAGAAACGTTTTTGGATATGCCACTGCAATTCTTTTCAAAATAGCATGCCCGAGTTTTTAATGGCAGAGGAAAAAAGCTTTAAAGTTCATAAAGCCGGCAGCCGCTGCTTGGAAAGGCCTTTGTACAAGCGCTTGAAGAAACTGCTGGGACAGCAGCCACCAGGCTCACTTAGGAATCCACTAGAAATGCTCACTCCCGGGGTCTCCCTGTTACAGATACTCCTTTTTCATTTGATCAACCTGTGCACTTTTGATACTTTGGTATTATACTTGCTTCCTTAACCCTTGCGCAGGCGGTCCCCAGTGCTGCGGTCTGTCTTGTCCTGTGTGCCGTCTTAGCTCCCGGCATGCTGATCTGACCTCCGCGTGTGGCGCGGGCGTGTCCTGGTGCGCAGCTCTAGACTGTTTAGACCGAGGCTTCAACCCAGCAGGGACTCCGCGAAATGTCCACGCTGTGGTTCAGCAGCCTTTTAGATTAAACGGCATTGTGGTTCGTGTTTGAAATTAACAGGTTTTAAATGCCATGTTCATTAAGAAATCCAGGGTGTTCCGATTCTGGGGTTTTTCATATTGTATTATTATTATTCTTAGGAATAGTTCAATGTAACAAGAAGAAAACTTGACCTTTGCTCTGGTTAAACAGTTAAGGCACTTGAAAACAAAAAAGAAATTATTGAATGAGTAGTATTACCTACAAATCCCAGAATTTTCTGGGTGTTTGGATGTTGTGAAGCATGACTGATTGACAGAATTTTATACAACCGCACCAGTGAAATTCCAAATTGGAATTGTTTTCTTACTCTGGTTGTTGTGCCAAATTGCGGCACACTTAGAAAATTCCACAGCCGTCAAATTTTAGGTGTTCTGTGGCAGCACCTTTTTGCTAGTAATCATTGCCAGTAGTGCCTTCATCGCTACGGGAGGTGTCCCAGCCAGTCTGTTCTCCGAAATGGACAGTGAAGAGCTAATTGGGAATGCTGAAGGCCATGTGGACCAATGGGTGTGAGAGGGTGCACACCTTCACACCGGAACCTGGGCATCTTCATTGAGGGAAAGAAGATAGCAATTTTGCAAAATTCTGTTAGTCAGTGATTCTTTACTGTGCAGATCCTTGCAAATTCAGGGGTTGAGAAATGAACGTAAATACGAACTTTGAGTGTATTTTGGGAACCAAATGGACTTGATGGGACAAGCTAAGCAAGCGGTGTGAATGACATGCCACGTTTGTGAAGAGCCCCTGGGCGACAGGGCAGTGCTGTTGGCCTCATGCAGTGGGGTGAGGGACTAGCCATAGTATTCTTCGCAAATGTGAGAAAAAGATGTTATATATTCTCTTGCTTGGTGTAACTAATCCCTGTTAATTTCAGGAAACAGAACTTGCTGAAGCTCCTTAGTAAACCGGGTCTGTCCAGTTTGCTGAGCGAGGTTGTGTGAATGGTCATATTGGTCCTCAAAAAGGAAGAACTTCCTCCAAAGTCAAGGGCAAATTATAATAAGTAGTAAGAATAAAGAGTTCTGTTTCCTGGAATGAGCATTTCTTATTCCTAGTTGTAGGGACCCCTATTTTTACCTTCTATTACAGTGTTGATTCATAAGAAATGTTACATATATGATAACTTCATCTATCTGGGGTATTTATTTGCAATGATGTCTGAGTACTGTATTTTTTTCTATGCATTGCCTAGTGTCAGAGTGTTGTCTTTATTAAGAACATATGCATGTTCTCCTGCCAAGGAGCCTTTACACAGACCCACACAAACTAATAAACTAAAGTGGCTTCAGATTCTGAGAAAATGAGGCAGAGAAGTAAAAGGAATAGGAAGGGTCAGTCAGTCGTAACTTAGGACAGACATGGCATGAAAGTCCTCAAAGCCAGTGCACATAGGAACAGTGGGCCTGGGTGAAGGGTCGTGTTGGCAGGACCAATAAATAAAGAATACTAAGACAAATACAAGGCTTGTTCTCTGTTGCTGCTTTTGACCCCCTACCTTTGGTGACTGGGTCCAGCAATGCACTGTAAGTCCAGAACCTCAAACAACGAAACTGGCCTATCATGAACACCGGTGGTGGGTGCTGGGAGCTGGAAGCAACCTTCGGTATAAATTGCTGGGTGCTGGGTGCTGTGGGGGCCTCCTGTGATGGGCCTTGGTGTCCTGAGCATCCAGCACTGTGCGGGAGACCACGTTGCCTTCACAGTCCAGACCAGAAAGCAAAGAGATTTGCGAAACACAGGACCCTTTGCTGTCCAAACTCTTACAACACCTGTTTGTCATCACAAAACCATGTTCATCTTCAGGAATGTGTATGATGCATACTGAGTCTGTCTGTTGATTGCTCATGGTTGTAGGTATAGGGGACACATCTGGCCGAGGGAACAGGAGTCCCTGGGATACTCTGCCACCCATTCTCCTGACAGCCGCAGTCAGGCCCGAGCAACTCTGTCCACACCTCGGGGAGGCCATCTGAGGCTGGGGTCTTTCTGCCCTGGCTTCTCTCCAGGACCCTTCCCTTCACCTGGGGTTTATCCTGGCCTCCTGGTCACCATGAGCTCCCTCCTCTGAGGATCCCCGTCCCTCTTTAGTAGCGGTGGCTGAAACTATCCTCAGTGAGAAACTTTCTTTCTAAAGAGACTTGTTTTTCGAACTCGAATCGTCGTCCTCTGCTAGCCGTGCTGCCCCGACAGGCCCCTGGAAGAGGCTGAGAACAGCCTGCCACAGATCTGGAAAAGGCCTGCTAAGAGGAGATGGCGGTGGCAGTGGGCCAGGCAGGGCAGGCCTCCTTGCAGGCGGGGGCACACCTGGCCCTGGGCTCCTACACCTGCGTGGCACGTGGTGGCCCTGCCAGTCCCACGGTTTGATTTGCACAAGCACAGGTGCCAAGGCCTCCCTGTGCCCTGTGTGCTCTGGGCGCTGTGCACGTGGCTTTTCATCTCGGGGTTGGAGTGGCAGCCTCCCAAGTGGGCAGCCTCTCAGGAGCCTGTGGGAAGGGGACATGTGCAGAAAGGCCAGCTCAGCCTTCCCTTCCACTGGGAATGTCTCCATCAGCCCCACCTCCTCCATCTCCCTGTGGCTATTCTCATTCCCCCTCCCACGGCCGGTTACCAGAGCTGAAAACCCTAGTGCCAGCTTGGAGACAGACCTCTGGTTGAATTGCCCTTTCGGTAGCTGACTTACTCTGGCTGACCACCTCTCTGAGCCTCAGAGTCTCCTCCATAGGTCAGGGAATGTAGCTCTTTGCTCGGAAGTCGTTGTGAAGCATCATCAGGCCCAAGGCGTGCAGCAGTGCTCGGGACGGGCGCTACCAATACGGCTCTGGCTGCGGTCGTCATTGTGACGGAGACTTGGGTGCCGGACACGGAGCTGGGCTGCTGTCCCCTGGGGAGTGTTATTTCAACTCAGCTTTCTACCAGAGTATGGTTTGCATTCAGGAAAGTGCACGTCCTAATGTATAGACCACATATGCACAAAGGCAACATAGCTGTGTGACCCACAGCCACCAAGTTCCTAGGAGTGCTTCTTGGGACCCTTTCCTGGAATGCCTCTGCCTGCTGGCCCCGGTGAGAACAGACGTGCCAGCATCCTGACGTCACCTGGCATGGGGTCTGGCAGGGATGGGCTGCCGTCAGGTCACCTTGTTCACCCATGAGCCTGCCTTCGTAAGTCCAGGGCCCTGGGGTAGAGCCCTCCGCTCCAGTGGAGCTCCTCCCCCTAAGCAGGAAGAGGTAACACCACAGTGCCTCGCCCACAGGAAAGGCGTCCTCGCATGGATACTGTGAACACACCCCCACATGGGCCTCCCGGGAGGGGAGAAGGGTATAGATCTATCACACACACCAGGTTCCTTTTTGTTCATCTCACTCTCAGGTAAAGAATCAAGGTTTGTTTTCTGGACCCTGAAGTGTCTGTGAAGTATAGCACACACGTAAGAAAGCAAATGGTGTTTACGGGCTGGATCTTTACAAACTGAACACACTGTAGCCACAACCCAAATGAGAAGCAGATGAGGGTAGCCCACCAGAACGCTCATACTCTGCACCCACTCCTCCTCCCCGAGTCTGTCAATACACGTCGCTTGTGCCTATTTCAGTACTTTATATAAGTGGAAGCATAAAACAGAGACCTAGAGCTTTGATAAGATTTCCTTACCAAACCTCGCTGATTGCTCACACCATGACAACTATGCATTTACAGGTGACTCACTATATTCAACGATATATCAGTTGAATGTAAAATAATGGAAAAATATATTCCCTGCAAACAGTAGCCAAAAGAACAGGAATGGCTATACGAATAGACATTAAGACAAAACTTTTTATGAGAGTCAAAGGACATTATATAATAATAAAGTCAATTCACCAAGAAGGTTTAACAATGATAAACATATATGCACCAAATAATAGTCCAAAAATACAATAAGCAAAACTGCCAGAATTGAAGGGAGACATAGCTCAACAACGATAGCTGGAGACTTCAATACCCAACCTTCAATTATAGAACAAGACACAATATCAAGAAATAGAATACTTCAACAGAACTCTTGGCCAAGATTACTTGAACAGAACTGTAAGCCAAGCCTAATATATCTATAGGACACTCCAACCAACAATAGCAGAATACATATTCTTTAGTGCATACAGAACCATATGTTAAGCCACAAAACAAGTCTCAATAAATTAAAGAACATTGAAGTTAAACATTACTGTCCAATGACAATGGAATAAAATTAGGAATAACAAAATGTAGAAAATTCACAAATATATGCAAATGAAACAATACACTTAATAATAGGCCAAAGAAGATAAGAGGAAAGGCAGGTAACTCTCAAATCAGTAATCTAACCTCCTACCTTAAGAAACTAGAAGAACAAACTAAGTCTAAAGCTAGTAGAGGAAAGGAAATAAAGATTAGCCTGAAGATAATGGAATAGGAGAGGGGAGACAGGGGGATTAACAAAACCAAAAGTTATTTCTTCAAAAAGATGAGCAAAAATAAGAAGTCCTGTACACACACACACACACATACCCTACAAAAGTCAGAAATAAAAATGAAGTTATTGCTGAATTTACAAAAATGTGACGGATTACAAGAAAGTACTGTGAATAAGTATACAAACAATTGGATAACCTAAATCCAAGCAAGCAGAAAGAAGGAAATAGTAAAGATCAGCAGAGATAAATGAAATAGAAAAGTCGATAGGGAAAATCAACACAATCAAAAGCAGTTTCCTAGAAAATTGACAAACCTAGCTAGACAAAAACAGACAACTCAAATTACTGTAACCAGTAATGAGAATAGGGACATTACTAATGACTTTACATAAATAAAACATTGTAACAATGCCAACAAATTAGATAACTGTTAAAGTGGCAAATCGCTAGAATCACACCAACCACCAAAAGTGACTCCAGAGGAAATACTCTTAATAGACCTATAACAAGAAATTGAATCCGTAATCAAAATCTTCCAACAGGACTGCTGGTTTCTGGTCCAACCTGTAAGGAGCTTAGAAGTCACGACTTTGTCTTAACAGTAAGTAAAATGCTGAAAGAATTGAAAAGCCACCAAGTCTTCTTTCATTCATCATAGGAGGACACGGTATACATACCACTGCCCCTGAAATTGTAGAGACAGACAGGTACAGAGAATTCCAACTTACCAGAGCAGTTGTAACCAGTACCAGGGGAGGAAAACCTGAACTGTAATTGACAAATTACGGGAGGCTCAGTGTCCACAAGTATGAAAGAGAAAAGCTCCAGGAGCCCCAGCCGCGGAGGGGACCCTCACACTTAGAGATGAGCTCTACCTCCAGGAGCTCTAGCACGCTCCCATAGTGAAGACTGGAGAAGCTCCCCTCTGGCTTTGAGCAACAGAAAGGAAAAGGAGCCGTCTCAAAGACCCTACAGCAGCGGTTCTCACCCTGTGGGTAGTGACCCCTTTGGGGGTCGAACAACCCTTTCACAGGGGTCGCCTAAGACCATTGGAAAACACATATTTTCGATGACGATTCATAACAGCAACAAAATTACAGTTATGAAGTAGCAACGAAAATAATTTTATGGTTGGGCTCACCACAACATGAGGAACTGTATTAAAGGGTTGCGGCATTAGAAGGTCGAGAACCACTGCCCTACAGCATCCTGTTCTTAACCAGGCCTAACTCCAGACTGTCTTGTCGGGGTGGGGGGACCTGACCACCTAAGGGGTGAGAAGAAGAAACAAGCACAGGGCACTGACAGCAGGTCAGCCCCAGTCCCGCAGAATGCTTCCTCTCTGCCACCTCTCACCGTTACATTACTGAGAGCTCCCTTTCCCCAGCACATCAGGTCAGCTTTCAACAGAAACCGAAGAGATGGAGCAAGCATTAGGACCAGTTTTAAATGTGGGAAGAATGTTGGATGTGACAAACCAGGGACTTAAAAAAACTGATTACTACACTGAGGGCAGTACAGTCGGTCCTCGTTTATCGCAGTTAATCAGTTCCAGACTCTACCGCGGTAAATGAATTTCCGCGAGGTAGGATTCTTTCTTTATAAATTGAGTATTTTTGCAGTTAGAGCATAGAAAACCGGTTTATGACCTTCTAAATACGTTTTTTTAACAGCCCTGTAGACATGAAATAACACTCTTTAGTCACCATCACACTCGTATTACCCAATATATTAGACAGAATAAGAGAAAATAAGAAATATCAGACGTTACAAATATATTGTACATTTAATTACACACACACAGTTCTTACACACAACCACTAACCTATGAAAATAGTGCAACTTGGTGGCAGGGCTGGTCAGAGATTCCTCACCGGGAGAATTTTTCAGCCTCCTAGAAGACTTCCGGTCAGGATGGCGGGTAGGTAAACGCGGTATCTGTCCACCCACAACCACATCAAAGTTACAACCAAACTACAGAACAACCATGATTCAAAACCGCCTGAAATCAAG